TGGACACCACTTAGAATTACACTGAGGTTCAAAATAGGATCTGCAACCTTTAATATATCTAAAAAGTAATTTGGAGTTGGAAACCTCATTTAGTTTCTCCAGATGTAAAAACTTGGCTTGCTTTTTAGCTTTCGATACAGCTTTTTTAAAGTTTTTTATTGCCTCTCTGGCATTTGAGGCATTTTCAGTGCATTTATAATTTTCAAATTTTTTTTCTGCTGCATCTTTAAGACGTCTAAATTTTTCTACATCGTCATTCCACCATGAATTAAATTTTGTTTTTGGTCCAATCACAAAAGTGGACTTCTTAATTAGGCGATTAAAATCCGTTTGAATTTCATTCATATCCGATTGGAATTGGAAAGTTGCCAAGTTTTTAAAAAGATGTTTTTTGGCGAGAAAAAATTTTTGTTTTGGCTGAATGTTGCCAATATCTATAATAATTGGTTTGTGATGACTGCCTCCTATTGTTGTATTTTTTACACACCATGTCACTGACAAAATTGTATTAGAAAAGGTAAGGTCCAGCACCGATCCAGGAGAATTATCAAATAGATTTTTCTTAAAAGTTGAAGAACCATCATTCAAGCACCTAAATGAGGAACTATCCATCAATGTTTTTACTGCAGTTCCCCGAACTGTGTCAAAAGAGTCGCCGTAAGCTTTGCATCTAGCATTGAAATCTCCAGCTATTATGACATTTGGTTTATCTTCTAAAAAGGCCAGTAGTTTTGAAAGTTCAGTTTTCAGATCATTTGATTTCACCGAATGAGGAAAGTACACTGATGCAATTGTGAAATTTTGGGATAAATTAGTAGTTGAACATTCTAAAATATCTAGTTTGGAGTTAAAAGTAATTTTTTTCATATTGATTGTATTTTTATGAAGCAGTGCTACTCCACCATAGTTGTCACTTCTTTTCTTGGGGATTAATTTGTAGTTACTAACATATGAGTTAGTAAATTGTTCATCAACATTGAATATTTCACTTAGAATACAAATCTCAATAGAAAATTTGTTTAGATATGTTTCAAGGAAATTCTTGTTTTTGTTAAGGCTTTGGATATTATGTTGGAGGATTCTCATGATTTATGTCCATATAAATATTGGAGCTTATTGCTGAGGATTCTTCTAATTGAGTTGCAAAATTATTTAAAATTTGCAAACCTTCCATGCAATTCGCATTTGAAAGAATTTTTGCCATCTGTTTTGTAAAATCAGATAAAATTTTTTCATAAGGAGTTACTCTGGAATAACTTTCTGATTGAAAAACTGGGTTGCTTGGAATAATGGATTCTGGTTCTGCTGTTATTAACGTCCTTTTTGGAGCAACGGCTGCGACTTTATTGTATTGAATTTTGGTAAGCCTTTGGTTAAATTCTTCATTCAAAGTTTTTTTGGGAGGTTTAGATTTACTGGAGATTTGTGGGAATTCATTTTCATATTGGTTGTCATCAAGAATGGCATAATAATTAGAAGTATTCTTACGCAAACATTCTTTCCTAGATAAGTTAGAAATCGCCATAGATTCTTTGATGTTCCTTTCAATAGCATACTTCGGACATTTTCTCTCATCCATCGCATTGTGGTCATACGAATTACAGAGAATACACCTTCTAAGACTACATAGGTCAATGCATTTGATTGTGGATAAACAAGTATCGCATTTTTGTTCAGTACAGTTGTTGGGACAAACAATATCTTTTCCACAAAGTAGACATCTTTTCTGTGATTTACACCTGATCGCAATATGTCCTAGACGACCGCAATTTTTACAAAGCCGTGACGGTGGTATGTATAAGTCTGCTTCGACAATCGAATTAAACATTTTAATTTCTCTTACTAAGAAATCTGCTACAATGCCGACTTTTATTGTTTGAGATGGCACGTACTGACCTTTTTCATTTTTATAATTAAAACGGTAAACTGAAATAGCCTTAAATTCATTGTCGCAATTGTTTATTTGATCAACGATCGTTTTACCATGAAATTCGGTTGGTACAGATTTAATAATGTAAAACTTTTGAACAAATCTATCCGGTATGAAAGCAGTAAGCCCAATATTTTTAAGATTTGGATGCAACACAAAATTATTGGCCGATGTCGGATTATTAAAGGACAAACGAAAAGTTTTGTATCCTATATTTTTTGCAACAAAATGTGCAGAAATATTGGCATTTTCTAATTTAGCAAAAAGGTGCAGTTCAGAATTTTTCCTTCTCGTGCTAATTGGTTCCTCAGATGTAACCAGGACAAAATAAGGACCAGGATGTTTGTTGTGGTACAGGATTGTTTGGTTTTCATAGGGATTGAAATTGTGGATATTGTTAGTGTTGGCAGGGCTATTACTTGGAAATGATGGGTTGTTGAAAGGTGTTTTGGGATTTTCGGAAATTGCTGGCATATTACTTATATTTGATGGCATATTGGTGTTTTTGTGTTGTATGTTAATATTATTGACTTCATTAGTGTCATTAGTACTGTAGTTAGAGTGTGTAGGAGTAATGTTAATTGTTAACTGATTTTCACTATTGTGTGTTGGGTTAGCAGATGATTGTGTAGAATTGGTGTTAGTTTGGTACATTTTGCTTTGTGCTGGTGATGCTGAATTTTTGAATTTTTTATTTCCAGGTATACTTAAATTTTCAAATCTTCTCCTCGGCTCCAAACGAGGAGGTGGCTCCTCGTCCCCCATTTTCACGGAAGATGTTGAATTTGCAATTTGTTCCAAAAATTAGCAAAAGTGATCCAAAAGAAAAAAGCAAAAATGTGTGGTGTAGGTTAATATGTGGTTAGGTGTGTGGGTGTGTGTGTGTATGAGTGTATATGCAAAATCGAAAATAAAAAAAGCGATCCGCGCGTTCGTAGTCTAGCATCAACAAGAGTTGAGAAGCGACTGCAGAAAACGTAAACAAAGTCGAAATTTTCGACATTAGACTTGAGAAAAAACAGCTGTTTTCCGATTTCGATTCCTATCTTCGTGACCTTATTAATAGATCTTGATTAGTATCCCCAATGTCGTTGTCGACATTTATCGATAACTATTGAAACATTTTTGGTATTCCGTAACAATGTCTTGATTTAGATTAGGCGATTTTACTTGCGGCAATTCTTGTCGTTCTCTTTTGAACTTGCTTCATGCGTCTATACAAGGCAATTCGGTTTCCAAAATATGTTTCTATTTGTTGTTTTTCCACATTTTAATATATATAAAACATCAACAAATACGAAATACACAAAACGAATTGCCAGAAAATTGTCGGTACGAGCAATTTTTTTCATTTCTATTCCCCTTGCCCCTCTCTCCTACAAAAAAGACTTGCCGCAAGTAAACTCGCCTAATCTAAATTAGGACAAAGTGTGACGACGACGATGTCGAAGATTTCTTCGTCATTGTTTTAGTTGACGACTCAAGTGTTGGAACATTTTTTTTAAGAATTAAAAAAAACATGACCGGACAAGAACAGGATATATCATTCTAGAATCTATTCAATGCATAATTAAAAATTAGGTGCAAATAAACAAAGAAAAATATAAGGGATCTATATATAAATCTGAACCGAACTGAATCTGACCAATATCAATTGGGATCAATAAAGTTCTGCCCCTTTCGGATGGAGTGTACTAAATTTTACCCCATTCGGATCATAAAGGTGACCTGTAACTTGTTTAAAGTAAAACATGAATGGAACAAGGTGCATAAGTGGACTCAAAAAGGGAACAACATGAGTTTAGAGGCTCATCTCGGATGACATTTTTACCAAATGTAGGTATCGTCTCCCTTATCACGAATATTTATTTTGTTTATTTTCATGGGAGAAGCCAAACATTCCGAAATATAGACCCTTGAAGTTCCGAAATTCCTTCGCTCATAAGTTCGTCATTTATAGACCGATGAAGGTAATATTGGTATGGTTGCAAAGCGTACACATTATATTTTCACATAAATTCGTTTTAATTAAAAATTATTCAAAATAGCCGGCCTTCGGCCAGTGATTTAAGACATTCTCCTATGGACAGGCAGAAATCAATTGTTTAAACTTTTTTTCAATAACCATTCTTGAGCGGCTATCTATGTCAAATGGAAAATTCGGCTACGCGATTGATCAGTTTAAGCATGCATTTCTTAACAGCCGTCAATAATACCATCAACGGTTCACAAATGACGCTGTTATGAGCGAGCATATGAATTCCGCAACTTCAGAGGTCCATATCTCGGGAAGTACGGATTTCTTCCATGAATGTCATGGGAGAAATATTGGAAATAAGATTTTATTTGTTGTTTTCCAATTAAAAATTGCTTACCATCATTTATAATATTCTAAATCGTCGTAGAATAAGTATTGTTTAAATATTTTTCATAAAAATATTTCGCACAAAATTTCATCTCATTCTCCTACTCCCTGTAATCCAGAATATCTAATTTTTCCCCAAAGCGGATTTCTTCGCTTTCGAACTTTATTCAGAATAAAGCGAAAGCGAGAATGCGAAAAAAATTCACAGGAGAATGTTGTTTAGAATAAGTCGAAGGAGAAGAGCGAGTAAATTCACGTGGAATTGACATCCAGAATAAGGCTAATTATGTCATATCCAGTAATAAAAAAATAAAAGTCGGTATGCCGTATTAGCTGCATTCTTAAATGCGGAATGGGATCAAATATCACCCGACTTTATAACCAAACTAGTCCAATCCATACCTAGGCGTATGAGTGCGGTCATAAAACAAAAATGATGTCCAACAAAACATTAATATTTATTAGAATGCATATCTTAAATTTGTTTGATCTTGTTCCTTTGTTCGAACGCGGTTTTCGTCATCCGCCATCTAGAGGCTAAACAATTAATTTTGTATAACTTTGTTTTTCTTCTATAAAAATAATTATTAATCTATATGAAATTTGCTTATTTGGTTGAATACTTCGTAACTTTCAGATTTTTAAGGGGTATATGAAAATGAATTTTGCATACAGTTTATTCTAAAAATTTAATGCAGTTGTTCACTAGCTAATTGCCTGTATTTTTTGCGCGGGTTTCTGTATTGGCAGAAATAGTTTGAATTCCGGTGGCAGCTCGTCTTCCGAATAAAGTCTGTCCGAAAAATACACTCGGCGAATTCGACAATTTGCATGTATTTGCACTCTCAGCGTTTCAATATAATTCGTTCCATATGCACGCCTTGTAAAGTCTGATAAATTGAATTGTATTTGGTTCCAGCCCTCGTCCAAACGCATTGGCATTGTGCAAATGAAGGGCTTAACGCGTGTCGTCGACTGATAATTGCTGGCACGGAAACGTCTTCGGACATTCTTATCATCCAGTACCTGCAAACAGTGTAATTATGAGGTTGACATTTTTGAATGAAGTTCGACATCGTTACCTGCACTTCAAATGTGAAATACTTTTTTACATTCTTTATTATCATAACCAGAAAAGGCAATTTAATGCCAAGAGTTTTTTTAGGATCTGCTGGACATGTTATAAATGTGGTGCTAACATTAGTACCCACAATTTCAAGAACCAAACTTTGTATATCGTTGTCCGTAATGCGTTTGATATGTCCATTCCTCACCTTCTTGTCCCAAATTTGCAATGGCTTGCTACCTATACTGTAAAGTACAGATAGAAAGCCTGATTGAAATGTATTCTTAAACATACCGAATTTTATAAGAAATAGTACAATTTAGACTGAATTCGTTTCTACAACTCTTTTGCAATTTTAATATGGAAATCGATTGAAGTGTATACAATAAAAATGTGCCGGTCGTCATGTTTACTACATCTTTAACAAAGACGCATGGTAACGCAGACATGACAATACATGAACAGTGTTGCCTGTTTAAGTGCAAAAATCCCCAATTTGGTGATTTTTCTTCGCAAATGGGAATTGGTTTGGGGTCCAGGGGATTTTTTGAGGATTAAGATAACATCAATGATCTTGGTATATAATTTTGAGCAGAAAATAAAACTAAAGTGTTAATCTTTTCTGCTAAAAATTAAAACGGCATTTCTAAGTAATTACAAAACTTGCTGTTACAAATGACAGAACGTTTAGCACCCAACATGAGCATCATAATTATTAAATGTTGTTGTAGCAGCCATATTGCTTTTACACAATGGGCTGAGGTGACGGACGTTGGCCGAGAAGTCGTAGGCCCCTCTGTCGCGAATCGATGATGGCAACCCCAACAACTCTGTATTTGATTTTGTCATTTTTAAATAAAATTTGTATTTAAGGCCCGTACCTAAATTCAGTACATTCGTAACATTCATTGAAATACATGTATTTAACTTTTGAGGTGAATAAAATCGTACGCATATGCATGAATTTAGGTACGACCCTAAAACCATTTACCTAGTCAAGAGTCACACGAGCAAAATTTCATGACAAATTTTCTTCTTAATTTCTTTAAAAATTCGTTCATTGTTGTTTAGGTACGCAATTAACCCTTGCTTCAAATTTATGAGTTTTCTAATTCTTCGACACACTTATTTTCTCGTTTGACCATTGTACATGAAAATTAACAATGGAATTAAAAGAAAAACCTTGTTATAATAAGATCTCTTGAATTACTCGAAGATGCTATAGCCGTGGATTGCAATGAAGACATATTAGCTCTGTCTGTTAATTCGATATTTGGTAACAATTGTTACCAAATGTTGTCTGTTTACACAAAAATCCAGTAAAAGAGAGTCAAGTGAGAGAGCAAGTTTGACAGTTGACCAACAACAAACTTATTGGAGTTTACTGAAAGAATTTTATTCAGTAAGATTTTGCAAACTCAGCATTTTTTGATCAGCTGTTTTATGACCAAACACAAAAATTATTCAAAACATTTTTTTTAATTTGCAAAGTTTAATTTGAAGTTAAGTTGTATAAAAATTACAGAAAATGGATGAAAATTCGTAAGTAATGCAAAGTTTCATTAAATTAGAAACAAAAGGTTTTAATTTTATTAACTGCATTGGTGTTTGACTGCGAACAGAAAACATAAAATGAAAGAAAATGCAAAATTATTCTGCAGCCAACTTCAGTTTTTTACATCGACGCTCATCATGAGATATGGTATTCTCAACTTCCTAATGATCCTCGCGGTATTCTTATTGCAAACCAGATAGACGAGTTCGATTTTACTTCCATTAATGTTCAAGCTCTCCGGACATTTCCATCGTCAGTCCATCGCTCCTTCCGTACACTTCCTGGCAAACCATGGTCTCTTTAAATTCAGACCATATTCCCATCCTGGTCACGGTAGAGAAACCCAGCGATTTCGTGGAGCCCGATCAGCGAACTTTCATGAATTATGACAAAGCCAACTGGCACGGATTCACAAAATTCATTGAGGGCTCCTTAAGTCCTATGCCCCCACCCGTATGTGCCAGAAAGGGTGAGGAGATTTTCCGAGAAACTATTATAAAAGCGGCAAAACGCTTCATTCCCTCGGGCAGAATTCCTATAAAGAGTCCAAATTATCCATCCAGGGCATCCATATTAGCACAGCAACGCGACCAACTCCGTGCCGAAAGCCCCGCAAATGTTTTTGTTTTGATACATCACCTTATTATTGCATCATGGTCCGCACTATAGGGACTTGAGTGTTGGCAGGTACAGTCTAATAGATTCTCCCAATAGAGTCAGTCCGTCCAATACGCACTTGTGAGCAAAAATAAAAGAAATAAATAAAACGCAATAGCATTAGAACTTTTTACTGTGTTAATCTACTTTATTTGACATATATATAATGGAATTGACAATTCAAATCCACTGGGTTAACGAAATCCGATATAATGTAAACGTACTATTACAATAAAGCCCAGGTGATCAACTCTATGTTAAGCAAGTCAGTAACAACGAAGTAATAACAAATGTAATGCATGTCACAATAAATAGGTAGTTCATTTAGCGCAGCTGAAGACTTTATTAACTGTCAAAGTGCGTAATTTCTACAAAAATTCGATGTATAATGTTGCCAAATCCATATTTGGAAATCTGTGAACTGAATGTCACCACCCTTTTTCGGCTTTTCCCAGCTGATAACTTGTCTATTTAATAGCATTATGTGAGTGAGTTCACCAATTTTTTATTGTTGTACCTTCATTGTCAAAAATTACAAAATTTCAAAATATCGAAAACTGGAAAATTAATTATATGGATGGGATTTATAAAGTCCATCTTCGAACCTAGAACCAAACTTAAACCTAAGCCTTGCAAATAAGTCATGAGGGACAAACGTCCATGACAAAATCGTGGATTATGCTAATATAATAAATGGTGGGCATAAAAAGAAATGACACGATTTACATATCCAGAATCGTATATCGCTGACTTAATGTGATAAGACGTTAAATACACATTTTCTAGAAAATTAGATTTAGATTTTTTCCAATAAGTAAAAATACATCGCTAAATTTTTAAAATATAGACTTGTTGCCTTTAACAGCCAGCGAAATGTGTCCATAAAAAAATTATTATCTTATACAACAACGGATTTTTATCGTTAATAAATGTCCCGCCTTGTGATTTTCTCATTGAAAACTTCAAGAAGGACAGAGCAAAGTAAGATAATATAATGAAACCGACTATATAGAGTAAGACTTTATATAAATATTGAAATAAATTAGTATATAATATAATTTATTTCAATATTTTCAAAAAAATCAAATACAGAGTTGCTAGGGTTGCCATCATAGATATATCAAATGAGACTACCTTTAATAAGTATGCAATGTAAAGACACCAAGAACATACCAGTATCATTGTTGTTGTCAGGATTGTGATTTATTAAACGTTGCTTCAAATCGGATAAGTTCATATCGGCAGGCGAATCAGTATTCCGTTGTCTTTTGCACTCATTTTGATTGGGGTTGTGTGTGTGTTTTTTTTTTTGCTAACAACGGTGAAGATGTATCAGAAGTCATAGAAATATTCCATATCAGGAAGAGAGTCAAGCATTTCGATTGCAAATGAATGTGAATTCGATACCTGTTGTTGCAGAAAACCAATTGTAGATGCACGAATACAGATAAAATCAGTACCACGGGTCTATTTACTAGATTTGGGATCAGAGCGGATATATCTTTCTCGTTCCTTTTTTAAACAATTGGTAGGGGAGAGGGGGGCACCTTTGAACTTGGGGCACCTTTGAACAGCGCTCATAAAATCTTGGTTTAACATTTTTCCGACCCGCAACCACATTTTTGTATATGGCAATCTTATTCTCTATCTGCGTAAACCACTTTGGCTTGCTTTTTCAGTTGTCGACAAATTGTGCATGGGTGACCATGTTTTCGCAGTGTCATTGTAAACTTTTATTCATTTGGTTGTAAGGGCGCAGGAAGAATTCTGTGATAGTTTCTTTCGTCGAACAAATTTATTGCATTCCAATAATCATTTCAAACATAACTAATGTATTTTCTTTCATATATATTTATTACAAAAAAAAGTTATTATAAATTTCCGTAAAATGCCATGGGTGGGGCACCTTTGAACATGCCCATTAAACTCGAGTAAAAAACGGAGTTTTTAACTTTTGGCTTCGATTTCTCCAAATTTCAAATGGGTTAATAAGATTACGAAATTAACTGTATTTTTCACCATAGTAATTTTTGTTTTTAAGTCATTTTATGTTTTAATAAATTTCCATCTAAATTTTTTTATATTTTGAACATTTTTTATATATTTTTTAATGAATAAATGCATTTCTGATATGTATGAATAAAATACATACATATTTGAATATAAACACTGTAAAAAACCATGTCGTTCGAAAATGCCAACCCCTAGGGGGGCAGTTTTGAACACTTTGACTTTGTCCATTAAAACAGTAATAAAATATATTTATTAAGCTTAAAGTATGTCATATGTATATTCATTTTAAAGGTTACATATGTATCTATTAGTTAAAATTTATAAGAAACCAAAAATTATAAAATAACAAATTTTATAAGGCTTGAAAGAAAAAAGTGTTCAAAGGTGCCCCCCTCTCCCCTACTAAATAACCAGTAAACAGATACAACTAATTAATTTACGACTATTGGCCTGTTCCCGTACGGCAAGAATGTACTATTTTCTTTACTACGATAACCATTTTTTCCTTACGATATCGAAATAAATTGTAAAAAATAGTAGATTCTTGCAGTACGGGAACAGACCATATATGTTTATATATTTTTACAATGTGACAACATCTGAAAAAATGAACGATAACGAATGATATTCATCATTCGTTCTCGTTCGAATAAAAAATCGAATCGAATCACTCTCTGAATCACCAAGAAATTTGTCCCATCTCTAACAACTTAGAGCATTTATCGAAAATAAATTAAGGGCTAAGCAGAATGCTCGCGTTGAGCCATCCGTTGCGTTTTGTGTTATCGAAAATACAACAACCACAAGGAAACGATAACACTAACGCATGAAGTTGATGTGCGCTGCGCTTTGAAGATAAATATATTTTAACTTTTTGCGTGCGTTAACGCGATAACAAAAAACACTCAACGCGAACATTCTGTTTAGCCCTTTAATTTTAACATCTTGAAAATATGTATAAAATTTAACTTTTTGCGTGCGTTAACGCGATAACAAAAAACACTCAACGCGAACATTCTGTTTAGCCCTTTAATTTTAACATCTTGAAAATATGTATAAAATTTTCA